TTTGTAGGAATTGCTTCTTCTTATTATTTTTCTCAAAAAAAAAAAAGAGATATGTAATGATCAAATTATTGAAAGAAAATAGTGATGATTCATTTCGAAATCATTCAAGTTAACAAAACTAATGTACTGTAAACTAGTAGGAACTAACATAACTTAAAAAAAGGTATATAATTGTTACTAAAGAAAATGTGTAGTGGAAATATGAAAGTTACATCATTTATATAAGCATTTTTCTTACATCGGCTATTATTAGACCTTCTTGCTTTAAGACTTTAAACATGGATGTTAAACTGAGTTTTAGGAAAATAGCAACAACAAAAATGACAACATTAGATTTTAATTACCCATCTATTAAAAGGGATCAAATGAGAAACCTAGACAAGCCTACCTTATCACCAGTTTCTTTAACATCACGTTCACTCTGCTCTTTGTACTCCCTGAAGCTGAATCTTCTATACTTCTTTGGATTCCCGTAGCATTCGAGCTCGGTTTCTAGATAAGGACATACGAAAAAAGCTATCGACAATCTCTCGATGTTTACCGGGGAAATCACTCTATGTTTCACGCTCTGATACAATCCATTACTCAGTGCCTGTAGTATATATATATATAAACATACAACTAACTCTTAGTTAGATTTTAAGGAAATTAATTACATAATTGTAAACAAAAATTTAAGCGACTATAGTGATATCTATTAGCTTTTGGATCAGTAGACCCTATCTTATAAAGTTTTAGGGACATAATTTTATATATGTCCACAACTCCAGAACCATTGTTTTATAAGCGTTAGGGTTTCCCCTGAATTTTTTCATATGAACCAGATGATTAAAAGAACGTTATATTTATCATAAGTTAATTAGTAACATTAGTTCTTTCTTGCAATTTGTTAAAGGTGCATTAGTTATCTACATTGAAAAACATATGAATAACATAAAAAAATTATAAGACATGTAAGTTATATTTATCCATTCTTTGGGATTTCCTTGCACAAACACTTTATCATCATATGTTATACTGAACCATAATAACTTCCATTCGAGTTTTAGGGTATAGAAGTTTAGTATAGCTATTTTTAACCTTCAAGGGCTCGAACGTTGAGAATAAAACGGTTCAAGTTACCTGAAACATATCGCCGATGTTCACAGTTAGAGCCTCCGAGGACGGTTTTACGCGAATCCATTGTCCATTTTTCTTCAATTCTAATCCTCCGATTCGATCTTGAAAGAGTATAGTGATAAAACTTGTATCGGTATGAGGAACCAAACCAAACACTTCCGAACCAAGAACAGAAGGATGGTACTTATTAAGCCTTAGAAAACTGTTTTTTAGCTCACGGATGTTTTCGAAATAGTTCGAGTTCACTTTCAGTTTTTTCACCAGTATCTCGCATATCATTTGTGCCACTCGAGCTATCTCTTGCACATACATTTCAACGGTTGTTCTGTAATAAGAAAAAGAAAAACAATTAGTCAATAAGTCTATGTAAATACAATGATATGTGATCCTGTATTTACGTGTATCTTTAAGTACAC